TTAAAATAAAAGAGGAGCTAGCTGGTGGTGTGGTGGTTAAGGCACTGGATTCCCACGTGGGTGACAGCAGTTTGATTTCCAGACCTGGTGACTTACTTTCTTACTCTCTCTCTTTCTCTGATTCTCTTTGTTCAAATTTAAAAATAATAATGATGACGATAATGATAATAATAATGATAATAATAACAAATAAAAATAAATTAAAAAGCAAAGGAGGAAGGAAGGGAAAGAAGAAGGAAGAAAGGAAGGAAGGAAGGAAGGAAGGAAGGAAGGAAGTTAGTTCATTAGTTAGTTGATTCAGATTGTGGGAATTATTCAGTCTGAAAACATGACCAAGGAGGATCTGCTGCTGGGCCTGATTCACCTCTTGCTCTCGTCTCCCTGTTTGCCTTACCAGTCCTCTCTCACTGGCCTCTACTCTTCCTGTGTCATTCACAGACCATCTGGGAGTCTCCTCTTGCTGCAGTAACTAACTACAAACTCATTTGTGGCCTAAAGCAACACACACATATTCTCACACAGTTTTGGAGACCAGAAATCCAAACCTCAACACATTGGTGGGATCAACAGATGGTATAATGGTTGTAACACTGGACTCCCACGTAGCTGACCGTTGTTCAAGTCCTGATCCTGGCGCCTTAAAACTCATGTCAGGTACGTGTGCATGTGTGCCCAAAATCCCAAGAGGAGACTGTAGGAGAAGGGATTGCAGTGTGGCCATGCCCCCAGGGGGTGATTTCTTGCTTTCTGTCTCTCTCTCTGTCTCTCTGGCGAGCACACACACTCTATATCAAAAATCTCTCTCTCAAAAAAAAAAAATCAAGGCATTGGCAAGGTTGACTGCCTTTGGGATAACCTGTTCAATGCTTCTTTCCAGCTTCTGGGGGTGGCTGGCCATTCTTGGCATTCCTTGACTTGTAGACACACCATTCCAGTCTGTCTCCACTGCCACGTGGCACTCTCTCCCCTGCGTGCCTCTCTATCTTCATCAAGTTGTCTTACAATGACCACAGTTTGTCTGAAGACCCATCCCACTCCTGTAAGATCTCACTTAACTAGTGAGAACTTTAAAGAGCCTACTTCCAAACATATTCACATTTGGAGGCACCATGGACATGGATTTTTGGAGGAGGCTCTTCAACCTGGTGTGCCTCATCTTCCGTCTCACCAAACCTACTCTGCACAGCTGTATGGTCTTTGGAAATGTGCACTGGGTCATGCCACCTACCTATTGATAACCCTTTCTGTTGTCCTGAGAATATAATCCAAGTCCTGGGCTTGGCCTCCAGGTTCCAACAGTCAGGCTCAAGCTGTCCCTTCAGCCTCAGCCCCAGTGCTCACCACGTGGTCCCATCTCTGCTATGTTCACACCCCCAGGCTTCCTCTGGTGTTCTCTCTGCCTGGGCAGGCCCCTGTGCAGAACAACCCTGGCACAATAAATTCTAGTTGGAAGAGGAGTAAATTCAATAAGCATTTAATAAGTGTGTACTATATGCTCAGCTCTGTGCTATATGGTGGAACTCAGAGAAGACTGAATTGCATCCTGTCTAGTGGGGGAAACACTTCTAAGTAAATCATCAAAAGCAGTGAGACAGGCGGTAATGTATGAGCCAGCTGCCCGGGAGGCCCAGGGGAGATAGGAACCAATTTGGCCTGTGGGACAAGGAGGAAGTCAGGGAGAGGCTCCCAGCAGAAAAGACTTTTAAACAGAGTCTGGAAGGAAGGCGTTCAGTCTGACTCCTGGCTGCCAGGAATAGAGGCCCAATCGAGTTACTGCAAGAATGAGAAAAGCCTGCTTTCTCTCCCAGGCTGAACAGAGACCCAGATGGGTCTGCAGCAGCTCTGAGCTGGGTCTTCTCCATCAGCCACCAGGGTAGGCCTTCTGTCTGGACTCTTGCTTTATTTTGCTAACGATCTTGAGAAATTCATGCCAACTATATGCATGTAGAGCATGCCAGTGACGAATGTGAGCGTTAGAGGAAAACACACACAGTGAAGAGTTTGTTTCTTGTGAAACGGGGTTTTGCAGAAAAACCTACTTCAGAATATTATTTGAGGGTAAATGGGGAAAGACGCATACCCCATTTGAGTTGTGTCCGGCTTACATGCGCACTTAGCGATGTCTGGCTTTGCCACTGTTGTCTTCATCATCTGTCTGCTTACTGCTGCTGTGTCCCTCAGAAGACTACCTGGCCCAGCATCCATCAGCCCCTCTCTAAACTTAACCCCTTTTTACTTTAGATTCTTCCTGTTGCCGATTCAGGCTTTTTATTGATTTATTTATTTTTAGCGGCTTTTGCTATAGGACGCATGTGCTCACCAGAAAGACCAGAGAAACAGAGAGACAGAAAATGAGAAGTCACCCCCCCAGGGGATGGCCATGCCACAATCCCTTCTCCTCCATTCTCCTCCATTCTCCTCTCAGGATCTTGGACATGCACGCACATGCGCCCAGAGTGAGATTAAGCCACCAGGTCTGGGACTTGAAACACAGTCAACTACAAGGGAGTCCAGTGACATAGCCATTACATCAAACACTAGGCTTTTAATGTCCTGGTTCAGATAGCTACAAGAGAGGGGAGTTGGCTGTGCAGGCAGCCATGCCCTGGGTCACAGAATAATTCTTGGTCTAGGATAATAACCCTTTGATCTACTTCCCCAGAATGGAGAGGAGGGAGCTGGTATGACTGTGGCTGTCTGAACCCCAAGGCTGGAGCTGAGTCACATTCCCTAAGAGCTAGGAGGGGATAGTCACCTGGAAAGACTAGCACAAAGGACTTGGGCAGAAGGTTCATTGGGGAACAAAATCGCAGAGGACAAACCTGTGGTTTTCTTGCATTGTCCCCTCCATTCGGTAATATTCTGGGACAAGGATCTAACTCAATTAAATGAGGCAGAGTGGGCCCAATCTCCCAGCCTCTGCAACCCTTGTCCATGAGTCCTGCTGCTTCATAACCCCAGCCAGGCCTGGGTGTTTGCCAACCACACAAAATAATTCAGGCCTTCTGTCCCGCCCTTGCAAGGGAATCGCCCATCCCCAGAGAAAGCATTCTGGATTGAGGTCTGAAGGGACAGCCCAAGGACTGTGGAAGCCTCGTTTTTCCCATCTGCAGACCCAGGCTGCCAAAACATATTGAGAGTATAATGAGAAATAACGGAATCAAAATAATGTAAAGGAAATAAGTGCTGAAGAGGATAATCAACATCCTTTCTGCATAGATTTCCTGCCAGGGAGACGGGAGCAAAGGGAATGTTTTACCCCTGGGGCTGAGGCAGACAGTGGACCTGGAAAGAGAAAAAAAAAATCACTTCCTGGAAGAGAGTGTTATAAGTGCTCTTTTAAGAAGGAGGCAGGAGTTGGCAAGGCCCAGAATGAGTCCTCCATTATTGGGGCATCTCCATGTACTCAGCTGTGGGGGAAGCAGAGAGCCCCCAACCATGGGCTACATGCCAATGGTTTTTCAAGGAGCACCTCCTAAGTTAGGCCCTAGGAGGCTGCGTTGGCATCTTAGGTCGCCAAGTGCTGAAGGCGATGAGCTCTGAAGACAGCTAGGTGGACTAGGGCTTGGTGCCAGCTGTGGCACCTACTTAGCAGAGCCACTTGGGTGGTTTTCAGGCTCGCCCCAGGTGAGCTTCCTCCCACCAAATTCTAATCCTACCTCATGTGCAAAAGCCTCATTGGCTAACACTATAGGTGCTGTTTCAGCTGGGGACATGACTTCAATAATATAATATATATGGCAGCAGGTGGCATGAGGGTTAAGGTACTAGGTCCCACATGACTGATCTGGTTCAAGTCCTGGACCTGGTGGCTTTAAGGATACACCAGGTTTGTGTGTGTGTGTGCCCCAAATCCCTAAAGGAGAATGAGGAGATAGGATTGCAATATGGCTATCCTCCTGTCCTGGGGAGGAGAGGAATAGGGGTGATTTTTCACTTACCCTCTCTCTGTTTCTGGCTGGAGAACAAACCCGATTGCAAAAATTTAACGAGAGAGAGAGAGCTTATCTGAAAGCCTATGGCCCATTAGAGGTGGGTGGGCATGTGCTTCCCTCCTCCCTCTCTCTTACTCAAATTTGTTCTCTTCCCTTTCTTTCATCCTTTCCTGTTTCTCCTCTTCTTTCTTCTCTTCCTTCTCATTTTTTAGAGAGATTTTTGCTATAGGGCACGTGCACTCACCAGAGAAACAGAGAGAGACAGTGAGAAATCACCCCCTGAGGGGAAATGGCCACACCTCAATCCCTTCTCCGTTCTCCTCCTGGGATCTTAGGCATGCATGAAAGTGCACCCGGAGTGACTTTCAAGTCACCAGATCTGGGACTCAAACCTCAGTCAGTCATGTGGGAGTCTGGCAACATGACCACTATGCCATCTAACAGACCCCTCTCCTCACTTTTTAAAAAGTTTACTTACTTATTTCTTCCATGAGCAAGAGAGACAGACAGAGAGGGACAGCGCCTAGCACCCCCATAGGACCCTGATGCCACAGTCCACACCCAGCCTTCACCAGCCCCACGTCATGGGTGCATGGGTGCCCAGTGCTCTCAGGGAGCTTCCAGAACATAGAACCTTCCCATGTGGGTCTGCCTTTCAGATGTGTCACTTTCTACCTCCACCCTCTGGTCCCTTGTCCTTCTCCTTCTCCTCTTTCTCCTTCTCCCCCACCCCAGCCCTGCACCGTCCCCCCTCTGTCTCTCCCTTGCCTCGTTCCTAGGAGTGGAGGTCACATGGGCTTTGCCATCAGCCCCGGTGGGAGCAGACAGAAGGCTCTAGCAATAAGGAAGCCACTGTTTCTCTACTTCATCCTTCCGCTCCCCCTCACCAAGCACCCCCTGGACGTCGAAGTTCACCTAGGTCTCACGGGAGGCGTCCTCGGAGGGGCCCTGTGCTCGGGGGCTGAGGGAGCCCTTATCCAGGGCGCCCCCATTTTACTCGCTCTACTTTTCTTGGTGGTCTAACCACAGGTGCGTCTTTTAAGTATGTATTTGAGAAGTCTGCTCCGAGTTTTTACTCTACTTCCTGCCAGCTCTTCACTATAATCTCAACGACTGCCATGAACTAAAGCCTTTACCTAAGGAAAGAGCAAGGAAATACTCGCTGGAGTCTGTTGGTCCTTCATGTCTCTGGTACTTCAAACTGCACACCCCTCAGCTCTGTGTTAGTGTCTAGGGACAAAAATGCAAGTAAGACAACTGGCATGATAAAATAACCACCTTCCCCTAAGGGCTTTGGATTGCTTATTTAACTCTCCAGTCACCCCTTAGGGACGCATCATTATTAACCCCATTTTATAGATAAGGAAACTGAGGCACACGGAGGTTCTGCAGTGTGCACACAGCCTCAGCGCACTGAGCCGGAATTCAGACCCAGGCTGTCTGGCAGCAGAGTCTGGAGCCAAGCCCTGTGTGCACTGGTGACACGTGATGTTAACCCACACACGAGAGCACCAGGAGAGGCGAGTTGCAGCAACGCGTGGGAAGCCAGGACAGTGCTTCGGACACTTTTGTCCTGAAATAAATCCAGCACTCGAGGGCCGAGAGATGGTAGCTCAGAAACCCCAATAAGCATCTCAGGGCAAGCAGATGGCCTTGGAGTGACAGCGTGGGACCCTGGGTGTGAGCAGATCCTGTCGTGCAGAGACGACCTGCAGCCACAAGTTCCAACCTGGAACCGCACCGTGACCGGTGTCAGATTATCGTGCAGAACAAGGACAGCTAATTTCTCTGCCCCCAGCTCATCTCCAGGATCTCACGAGCTGTTTCCAAGCTCTGCATCTGGTTCCCGGTGGCTGAGCCCAGCAGCTCCATGGCAGGGTTCAGAAATCCATAATTCAGAGTGGCAGACGCGCACTCCAGAGCTGCCTGCGCGCTCCATGCCGGGTTTTTCATAATTGGTTTTCAGAGCAGCCTGTTCCGTGATGTGTAATTGTTAGCAGTTGTAAAAAGATAACTCACATTTTTAAAAGCTTAAAGCTTGCTCTGTGCAGATAAAAACTGTGACAAATTATGTTCCGAAAAATCATAAAAGTAGAGAGAGACATGTTAATAACCAAAGGTGGCGTTTCATTTAGAGGTCAGCCAGAGCTATTAACGTGGTCAGGAATTTCAAGCCTTGGCAGTCGTGATTTGACCATATCACTTATCTCCTCCAGCCCATGCCTAAGTATCTCCCTCGGTAAAAAAAAATAATCCACAGACAGTAATACGGGAGGTCAGGGGTAACCGGGGAGAAAAGCAATATTGCCCAAGTAAACCCAGCTTTCAAGGAAAGCATTCGAATTTGCCAAGGCCATTTAATGCTTCAGATCCTACAGTGTCACCCCCAGACTTGGGGACACCCTCTCATACACAGCCACCAACACACATGATCAGGCATGGGCATGCATGTATGCATACTTGAAGACATCACTCAGCAGACAAATAAAGATTTTTTCTGGGAAAAAAAATAACAAGAAAAATGATGTAAAGATTGGACGACAAACACAGCGAACAAGTATGGGAACAAGTATGGTTTTCACAAACTTAAAAAAAAAGTGTTGATCTCTTTGAGCTGAGATACAGGCAAATGCAAAAGAAAAGCAAGTGAGAGAGACCCCCCAAGGGTCCCATCTTCCCCCTGAATGGAGTCTAGACACCGACTGCTTTAACAAAGGACATTAGCAAGCTGTTGATTGTGTCCACTCAAGTGTTTGCTTGTCCAGTCCGTGCCCTTTCAATCAGACAAGTGCCACAGCCTTAGATGGGACAGTAAATTATTGTTTCTGAAATAGACTCGTAGCCCTCACTCTGGACACTCAGAGTGTAAGGGTCTCCTTGCAGGACCATAATGATAAGGCAATGTGAATAAAACAGAACAAAAACTACAAACAAAACAAAAAACCTATTCTCTAGCACAGGCCTTGGACATAGCGTGAACTGCAAGTCAAGCTTACCTACTTTTGGCATGATGACTAATTGGTTGAGAATTGCTAAGTAGTAGTTTTAACGTCTCTGGGCCTCAGTATTCTCACCTATAAAGTGGACGGATCCCACCGCTCCATGAGAACACGTGTAGAAGATGCTAATACCTTGGTGCTGGCGAATTTTCAAATAGGTGTTTGTGTCCTGTAGAGATCAGCAAATTTCAATCAATTGGAAATTGCTTATTTTCATGTCATTTTATTGACTGTAGTTTCTTGGCAAGAGATAAAGAAAAACCAAACAAATGAAGACTTATGTGGAGAGAGCTCCGTTCTGATAAGCAGCTTGCCCATAGTTGTTTGTTGGTCGCTTTGGTTTTAATACATTTAATAGACATTTAAGGGGGAACAGAAGTGGCAGAATGGCCTCTATGTGTTAAAGAGGTATTCTGGGGGCTGTGGATGGCGGTGAGCACATTCGCTCTGAGAACTCTCCACTCTAAGATACTCATCTAAGAGCAGACCTCTAAGGCCTGCCCCATAACACAATGCATTACGCACTGCACAGAAGAAACTAGGTCCTTCACAGCAGACCGGGGTTCCAGTCCAGGCTCTGCTGGCTTGAAAAACACGCTGAGCATTTGCACAGATGCTCAGGATCTTGAAAATGAGAGCAAAATAGAAGAAAAATTATTGTAGTGTTAACAGAGCCTGTTGGAGAGTGCTTTTGCTTTCTCTCTCTCTTTCTCTCTCATGTGCACACATGCACCCTGTGGAATTAATACAAAAAAAAAAAAAAGAAGAAGAAGAAAAAGGAAGACATTTGGTATTCTGTATCCTAAAAAAAAAAAAAAAAAAAAAAAAAACGACTTAAAAACATATAGGAATAGCACTTGAGTTAAAAATTACTATGTGTGGATTAGAATAGTGCTGGGCATCTGAACTCAGTGCTAAAGATACTCACATGCCACAGATGTGAGTCTGTAACAAACTACTGCTCTTGCAGAAAAAGAAAGGAAGTTAAAATGAGAATTTGTGGGGCCATGTGGGGTCCAGCTGCCTTAACCACAATGCCACTGGCTAGCCTGGCATTCTTTTGAAGGTTTATTTATTGATTACTTCCATGAGCACTTGCATATGTGAGAGAGAGAGACAGCTTCCCTACCAGGGTTTTGATGCCATGATCTACCCTCAGCCGTCAGCCAGCCCTGGAGCATGACACACATGTACTGGGTGTACTCAAGGAGGTCTCTGAACTTGCACTGGGAACCTTCACATGTGGATCAGCCTCACGGGGCGTTGCACGTACTGCCGTGCCACCATCCAGGCTCACATTTGACTTTTGAAATGTATTCATGACTTAGTTTTATTATAATGTAGAAATCGTAACAGCCAGGAAATATGAACTTGCTACAAAGCTTATAAAATTCATGCTATTTAACTACAGGCCAGACCAGCATACATAACTGGGACAAATATCTATAGCTGAGTTGTAATGCATTATAAATGAGCATAAGCATGCTTTTATTTATTTTAATTCTTCATATATCTTCTGTACCACATAAGCATTGAGAAAGGAAAAGTAAGTGAAACTAAGAGACTGGACCCAGTAATGTAGCACCGAGTCTGAAATGGATTCCTTAGCAAAACTCAGGGAAGGTTTGAGATGAGAATCTTACCACAGCTACAAGCTTGGCGTGCTTTTGCCCATTCATAGAGAAATTGTTACTATTTATTACTTATGTATAACCTACTGTACACTCTACTGTTTGGGAAGTCACTGAATAAAACTTCTGCCCTCAAGGAATTTAGTTAATACAAAATTGCCTGGCCTGGCCTCAGTGGCACCACGACTATACAGAGTCCTGCCAGCTGGAAGCCATGTGGGAGGTAGGGAGTTTAGTTCCAGGGTCGACCGAACATGCTGGGTGCACACATAAGTGCTCAGGACTCTGGCTGGCAGGGAAGGCTGGGGAGAGGACCGTGGTGTGGGAGAGACTCTGTTAGAGGTACTGGTCTTTTTCTCTCTCTCTCCTAATAAATACATAAACTCAAAAATAAAAAGAAATGTCCTAAATTTTTTCATTGGCATCCTTACCTGATAAAAGTAGTCCTCTCTAATTCTTTTATAAAAAGTAGATTTATTTATTAATTTTGAACGAAAGAAAGAAAGAGACAGGGGCCCCCAACAGAGTCTTCATGACATGATCCTCTGCTTGACTCAGCCAACCCAGCTCACAGGCACGCATACACATGGCCAGCATGCACAGGGAGGCCTCCGGATGCAAACCCAGCACCTTCCGCTGTGCGTCCAGTTGTGTCACTGCTGTGCCATGATCTGGCCATGAGTCTTCTCTAATTCTTCACTATTCTTAAATATTTGGTTTCATTAAAGTTGCTAGAGTTGCTAGTAACTAGCAAGTATTAAGAAAGAATTTCAAAGATCTTGATATAGAGATTAGAATTCAGTTTGTTCTCTTTTTCCTATTTAAACATAGTGCCCTGCTTAAAGGTCTGGACATTTACAGGTGATCAATAAGTACTCATTATTGCATCCCATGATAAGGATTGTGTGGGTCCACGCACAGTCTCAGAGTGAAGTGCACTGGTCGCCTTTGTCTTTACCAACATGCATTGACCGTTCACGTATGATGATGGACCAGACTTGGAGTAATACCAGGATGACACTAATAACTTCCCACTGGGACTCATACTTTGACCTGATGGGTTTTGTTTTTCTTCTTAGTAGAGGCTGTTGGGACCTTAGGATGGATTTCCATCTAGCTAGTCTGGATATAAATAGATATCAAAACCAGAGCCTCCCTTGGCCCTGTGTGCATTAAAGTGGCTTTCTATCTCTTAGACATGCTTACGGAAAGGGTTCAATGGGCAGAGATGTGAATAAACAACCGAATGCCATGTGCTTAGTAGCATCCAGGACCCATTCATGGAGGGTTCCTTTGTTCAATGGGTCACAGAGAAGAGCAATTTGTGCCATTGCTGTGTGCCACTGGCTTCCAGAGTGATCAGTGGAGAATGTACTTACTTAAGTGAAAGATAAAAAATAACGAAACCCAATTCAACAGGTGTGACTTTTTGAGCAAATAATTGACTCTGGAAAAATTTACATTTGATGCCTTGGAAAATAACTAAATTGTTGAGTAGCTCAATGAGTAAACATGAACCCAATTTGAAAGATAGATTCGTTCTTACTGTAGTACGTGTATGACATTGAAAAAAATCCCTCAGCTCTCTGGGCCTCAGTGTCTTCTTCTGCCTGATAAAGTTTATGATCTCAACCAAACCAGGCTGAGATTTATAGTAGTTTATTACAATAATTTATAATATAAATTATCTATAAAAATAAGTATAATAGTGTATCATAAGCTCTCTGACAAAATACTGTCTTCTTGAGACCAGCAGTTAGCATAATGGCTATGTTGCTGGACTCTTATGTAGTGGACCGCAGTTTGATTCCAGGATAGGGTGGCTTAAACTTATGTCGGGCGCATGTGCATGCATGCCCAAGATCCTGAGAGGAGAATGGAGGAGAAGGGATTGCAGCATGGCCATCCCCCCTGGGGGGTGATTTCTTGCTTCCTGTCTCTCTGTATCTCTCTGTCTTTCTGGCCAGTGCCCGTGCCCCATAGCAAAACCTCTAAAGAAAAAAAAAAAAAAGAAATATTGTCTTCTTTTGGCTCTGTCGATGCCTTGTGACTTATCCATTTGATCTCATTCTCTGTTACCTTCTCAGAGAGGTGGTTATGACCTCCTTACTTAATATTTCCTTGTCATTATTTTGTTTCCCCTTCCTCCTTTTTCCATCATCACATTTCATAATCTGTGGTTATATAACTTATACAGTATAAATGATATATGTGTATATGTTTATCTACTTGATTACCTCCTCCAATGCCCCCCAAAAAGCTAAATACCGAGAGCAGGTTTATTATTTCCGTCTCTCAGGACCTAATAATGTGCCAGATGCCTAGTAGGTGCTCAGGAAACAGCCATTAACAAACCAATGGATGTGAGAAAACAAGTTAAAAACACAATATGCCAAGTATAATCTCACAGTAAGACTAGGTACGAGCCTGCATGTGTTAAAAGGGAAGGTTGGACTTTTTCATTTCACTTTCAATCCTTTTCTCTCTCTCTCTCTCTCTTTTTTTTCTTACGAGAAAACATACAGAGTTCAAAATTGAAAAAAAAAGAATTATATGCATAAAAATGAAATGAATTTTAAACCTTTACTTGGGCAGAGACCACATTCTATTAGAATTGGCAGTCTGTTAATCACTATTCTCGGTATAACCCAATGAACAACTCTGTTTCCTTTATCAGTTAAATTGATTCATACATATTGGCAAGTTAGCTATTTCTCCCAAAGGGAGCTGAATTTATTTGGGCTGTATATTAATATCTTATTATCCTTCTTATGCACTGGTGACATGATTATTATTTCATCTCAGTATATTTATTAGAGTAAATGCTTTTGGATGGAGTATTGAAAAAATCCCACCTCTGTCTAGCAATCTTTCTAGGCAGGTACATGCGAAATCCTCCCTCAGTCTTTGGTTATAACTATTCTCTGTAGACCTTTGCTGATCATGTCTCCACGGGGTGTTCCCAGCAGCCTATGGCAAGACCATGTTGTTTAAATGATTGCAGCGTGTTCACAGATAGTTCTTCTGCCCCACTGTGGATCATGGGACCAGCTTTGTAGCTGGCTTGCAGAAGCCTCTGTCATGGGTGAACAACTGCTCAACCCTGAATGAGAAGGTGCTCAAATACAGTCTTACAGTTGGCTCATATTTATTGCTGAAAGTTGGAAAGATGGACAATGGGAACAAGGTGACTTCAGACAACTGTAAACAGGACAGGTTTACAAAAGTTGAATTAACCTTATCAATAAATAAAAAGGTCATTTTTCATCTGGGCCTACCAGCCCCTGTGTTTTCAGGCCAGGATCCAATGCAAAAAATAAACAACAACAACAGCAAATGCACCTGACCACAAAATACTTGAGTGGTAAATTAAGTCTTGACTGAAGTCACTGACAGAGGAAACTCAGGAATTACTTTAAAGACCACACAACAAACTTCCTAACAGGCTCTATTAACAACCAAAAGCTTTCCCAGGACCAGCAAATGGCAGCTTAAAACATGCAGGGTACGTGTGCAAGCATGCCCAAAATCCTAAGAGGAGAATGGAGAAGAAGGGATTGTGGCATGGCCATACCCCCCAGGGGATGATTTTCTCACTTTCTGTCTCTCTGTCTTTCTGGAAAGCACACATGCCCTATAGCAAAAATCTCTCTTAAAAAAGAAAAAAAAAAGTTTTCGTAAAGCTCCCTTGTCATGCCAGCTGCTTCTAATTCCTCTTGCCCTCCTGCTCTGTTTCTCTGCAAACACTTGCCCACCTCTTCATCCTCTTTCCTGCCTTCTGATCTGTAATGTTCTGTACTAACTCCATTTCTCTTTACATCAAACTTAGCCTTGTTTTCTTCAATTCTGCAACTCTACTCTCAGCAAAACATCTGAAACATAGTCTCCTGGGAAGGTGAGGGAAGAGGAGAGGCTGGGTTTATATACATTTGCATCCATGTCCCTTTCAAGATGATAATAGTTGTCTAATATTGCATTGACTTGTTTTATTCTCCCCATTTTATAGGTGAGGATGTCAAAGCAATCAGAAGTAACTTCTCAAATCATATAGCCAGGGGCCAGGCTGAGGTAAAACTCTTTAACCAATGGCCTCACATTGCCTCTCTCAATGACATTAACCAGAAAGAGAAATCCAGCAGCCAGCATTAGGCACACAGTTTAGGGCTCCAAGTCCATCTTCAACTGCCGAGGAAGAAACAAAGTAGAAAATTGGAAAATTAAAGTTGGTTCAAAGAAGCAAAAGTTCTGTTTCTAAAACCAACTTCCAAGTTGGAATTTGACCCTAAATTGCTAGGGGATACTCTAGAGTACCCAACATTTCTCTTCAAAGGATTTGATTTCTAAAACTCTGGGGCTCACCTTTGCTTACTGGAAGGAGATGATATGGATGGATAGATATGAAGGAATCACTTTGTAGCTGTGAAGAGACTGAGAGTGAGGGAAGTCATCATTTTAGACAGAAAATGTGCAAGGGAAAAGAAAAATCTCAGCTTCCTTTGACTAATACTTCCTGATGCAGGACTTTCTGCTCCAAAATATCTTCCATTTCTTTTCTTCCAGTGATGGGCACTTGGAGCTCAGTGAGAAGCCCACCCACCACACTGCAGTCAAAAACCTTTCATGGTCAGTTTATGCTTTCTTTCCTCAATAGAAGCTATCTACCATTGAGCATCTACGTGAAGGTCTACCTCTGCTTTCCAGAATCTTTACAGTGAAAATTGAGATCCTTACACAAGTGTCCCTTCTCTTGGGAAGGGGCCCTCTTGCAATTTCTTCTCACTTCACTCTCACAGAATCTTAGGCAGAATCTCTAGCTGGAGAGGAATCTGAAGTTTTGCCAATGAGAGAGAATTCAAGGAACACCTTAAAACAGTGACTCTCAAACATTAGTGGGCACCAGAATCATAGGATGGCTTGGTCAGAACCCTGCTTGCTGGGCTCTAACTCTAATGGATCTGATTCAGTGGTTCTGGGGTAGAGTAGAAGGATTTGCATTTGCATAATGGTTATGTTGCTGGACTCCCTTGTAGTCAACCGCTATTCGAGTCCCAGACCCTGATGCTTAAAACTCACACCAGGCTTATGTGCGTGTGCGCCCAAATCCTGAGAGGAGAATGGAGAAAGGATTGGTTCATGGCCATCCCCTCTGGGAGGTGATTTCTCACTTTCTGTCTCTCTGCCTTTCTCTGTCTCTCTGGCAAGTACATGCGCTCTATAGAAAAAAAACAAACAAACAAAAAAAAACCTCTCTAAAAAAAGTATTGCTCTGTGACCAAGTCCCTCTGATTTATTGCTGTTGTTGTTTTTAGTGCAGAGAGCAGGTGCTGTCGTCACAGAGAGACAGATGGAAAGAAAGGGTGAAAGCACCCTGCAATGGATGTGGTTACATTACGATCCCATCTCCATGGCTCCATCCTGCCAGGATCTTGTGCATACACATGCATGCGCCTGGCATGTTTTCCTAGAGCTGGGATTCTAACTGAGGTCAAGCATATGGGATCTGGCTCCCTTAATTGCCAGGCCATGGGCTGGCTCAGCCACGTCCCTTCTACATGAAAGATCCTCATAAATTGAAAGACAGTGCTTACATAGCTCCTGGATTCTCATTTCTCCCAGTTGGACCTCCTCAATCTTTGCAAATGATGCTTAGAGAGAATCCTTTCCTGACTCTCTTCCTACTCTAGACATCCTCATGTGGATTGTACAACCCAGAAGGAAATTCTCTCCCTTGTCTGGGCCTAAATTAGCCAGAGATTTGGTGAAATGTGTCCATTGCTGTTACCCTTGGGGGTAACTCATGCCTGGGGGGCTTCTTCACATGAAAGGCTTTTCAGGCAGAAATCTATCTTGTATTTTTGAAAAAGGATTTTTAATCTAAACGCAGAATTTGACATATATATCTAATGCATTTCATCTCGATGACTAGCGCATCCCTCTAAACTGTGAAAATCCTTTGGAAACCCGATACGTCATCTAGCTTTCTCATTGTCCTCATACCAACTGCAGATTTAACACACACATCTCTAAGTCTTTCTTGAAAGTAAGGATGTCTCCAAGAGAACCAGCCCAAATACTGAGTTCTGTGGTGTACCTGCTGAAACATCTCTCAAAATAGAAAAAGTGCAACACCTCCTTGAATACGTTTACATAGCTCCAAACCGGCTGATGTCTTTTGACATCTCTTTCTTTTCATTTTTAAAGTTAATTTAATTATTCCTTTGTTTATTTAGTTATTCTTACCAGGGGTAACAGATGCTGAGAGAGAGAGAAACAGACAAAGAGACAGGACCCCCAGGAGGACCCCATGCTGCAATCTAACTGCCTTACTCCAGATCTCAACATAAGTGCACCATTTGATGAAGTTAGCCGTTTCTCCATTGGCAGCTTTTCTTAGATACGTTCCGGTTCACCAAAGTAAAGTTATGTGTCACCACGAGCTATCACTAGTGCTAGAGCCGAAGGAAACAGTCGAATGGCTAATTCCGGTTTTGTATCGTGACCACCTTCTCATCAACAGGACGGCTCATCATCAGACGATGTCTACCACTCTCCAGTGTATGTTATTTATATGGAGTATGGCTGCATTTCATTGTAAATTTAAATTCATTAAAGTACACATAAAATTTAATTCCTGGCAAAAAACTTAAAAGAAAAAAAACCTTACATGTGCTAAAATCGAATTCCTCGGTTGAAACAGCCACCTTTCAATTGCTCAGTAGCCACTTGTGTCCGTGTTAGCACAGATGTGGAATATTTCCATCCTTGCAGGAAGTCCCATCGGAGATATAAACTGTACGCCTATGTATCAGTCAAACGAGGTGAGGGAGGAGAATTTTAATGCTGGATACTGGTTGTTTTGCATTTCCTTTGTAGAATTAGACACTAATTTACCAGATGAAATTATTAGACAAGCTAGAAGAAAATGATTGAGTTGTGTCTAAAAAAAAAAAAAAAAGAAAAAGAAAACCCTCTGACATGTTGATATTCTAGGCTGGAGACTTTGCTTGTGGCATTTTGGAACAAGATTCAGAATCAGGAAAGTGTCACCCAAGTTGAAAGCTCCCCTGTAAGAAATGTCTTAGTTTGACCTAGAGTAAGTGGAAGAGACAGGGTAAAGGAAAGGGAAGCAGCGGAGGATGTCTAAGTGATAAATGGTGCCCTGTCATATCACAGTTGACGTCTCAACAGGAAAAGGGGGCTGTTGAGCCAGATGTGGGTTAAGCGAGGAAGTTCAAACCTCGCTCGCATCTTCATTTTGTTTTTCAAGGCACAGGCTGAGTTCATGAGCTCTGAGTTCAATCACAGCACATCCATTCTGTGGAGTAACAAGCCAATCAGAACAAGTGCATTCTCCAAGGCAGCTGCTGCCTTTGTCAAGAGCTCAGTGATTGCAATGCTGAGCTGTTGAGAAAGAGGGAAGCAGAGACGGAATCCCTCCAAGAGAAGACTGTGGTTACATCACTGTACTGTGACCACCAAGGTGGAGCCTGGGAACCCCCCACCCCAGACGGAGGACAGCCATCAAAACCTGCCTACTTTTCCAGGGCGGAGGATGGCAGGAGCCTCATCTACCAGAGTCTAGGGTTTCTAATCTAGAAACCTAGGTTTCTTTCATAGGTTGCTTGCCCAAATAATCACCAAAAAACACATAGGGCCATCTTTTAGGAATCCTCTTTAGCCAAGCAGTCCTTCCTCTCTTGAGTTCATTTTCCTCTCATTATATTTCCCAGGGTAACTTCCACATCACAAACACATTTATCTGGGCTTCGCATCAGCCTTAAAGATTCGGAGTATGGATCTGTTTTCCAGACTGACCGTCTGACTGTCTGACCTATGGCTGTTCACTCTCACAGAAATGCATAATGTGACCCTTGTTAAAACCACAATTAGTCTAAACCCTTTACAGGAAATATCGGTTTGGTAAGACGAGAGATACCGTTAATAGGAAGTCACATGATTCGTAGGGAGGGCAGGCCCATGCGGTCGAATGTACACAATTTCTTCTTATCATTGATCTCTAGCTGCAGCTGCTGCTAATGAATGCAAAGGTTAACATGCACATGTGCCCTGCATTCTGTCCAGGGAGGCCAGAGCAGGGGTAGCCCTGTCAGTCCTTAAGGCCAGAGTACTTCAGGGGTGCAGCTCTGGTTCCTTTGAGGAAAGACTCCATCCACAGAGCCTTCCTATCCAATTCCAAGGCAAGGAAGACTAGAATGATTGCCAGTCTTAAGGCCATTGCTAGCCCCTCCAGACTTGGCAGGCAACCTGAGGTATGCCTCTATGAGGTCACCCACTATGATGAAAGAATCAAGGTCTCAGAAGTGCTGTAGAGCCAATTTCTGGTAGGTGTATGACTTCACACTGAAATCAAAACGTTCCTCTGCCATCTATTAGTTTGGGGGCTTTAGCCTCAATCTCCTTATCTGTCCAATGGGGTTGATGCTATTGAGAGTAATGTCTGGAGCAGTGGTACTACTAATCCATGTAAGAGGTCATTTATTGAGCATTTATTCTGTCCTAGGCACAATGCTAAAGATAATGATAACAGGAAGAATACATCACAGAGGCTGAAGCGAAGCAGGCCAGGTCACCATGAAAAAACGAACCTTTCTGAGCTTCTGTTTCATCCTCTGATCAATAAAGAAAATAATGCCTCTCTCACACTGTATTATTAAATGATTATGTTTAGCATGATTCCTGGCACCGAAGAAGCTTCAGTGTGTGCCACTATTATTACCATTAATACTGTTATAATGATCACACCTCTTGATGTTCACAACTATGCTTGAGGTAGGTAGTTTATTCTGTCTTAAAGATAAGGAAACAAGATTACTGTCATTAAGTAGCTATTATGATTAATATGCATCCCATAGAGTTTCAAATGGAGCCCTACTGGAAAAATCCAAGTAGCATTTAGCCATCATGCAACTGAGGATTGAAGAGATGTGAGCCATGACTAAACCCAATGATGGAGAAGAAAATAAAGTGTGTGGCTGGGTCAAAGAGACTTCTACCTGAAAAGTACAGTACAGTTGGGGCTGGATGACAAACCACCTAATTCCCCAAGAAGAGAGTGCACATGCTCCCTAGATCTGGGAATAGAGCTGTGTGTTATTTATCTTTTGGCTTTGCCCACAATCTTGGAGATATCATAAACTGCTCCACTATGGACTCAGACTGTCCAAGTGGGGGCTCCAGGCTCAGAAAAACTGGTCCTTGCCATTCACTCAGTCCTCAGTGAGATACCTTCCACCTGATAGGACCAAAGCTTCCTCAAGTGCCAAGTTTTATAACTCAAAACAGTTAGATTTTAGCTATAGTTATCTGTACTCACATATATTCAAACCCAAGAATGTCCCTCCTTCTCCTCAAAGACTAAAGCAGAGAGTTACAGACAAGACTCAGTCCCTGGCATTAAATAGGTTCCCTTATTCAAAGCGATCTTTTCCTTAAGTCCACAATAAATAATCCTCTTCGTAAAAAGACACTGGGCCCTGGGACCAGCAGTTGGCATAATGGCTGTGTCACTGGACTCCCATGTAGTCGACTATGGTTGGAGTTCCGGACTTGGTGGCTTAAACTCACGCTGGGTACCTGTGCATGTGTGCCTAAGTTCCCGAGAGGAGAATGGAGGAGAAGGGATTGTATTGTCGCCATTCCCCCCCCGGGGGGGGGATTTCTTTCTTTTTCTCTCTCTCTGTCTCTCTTTCTTGCGAGCACACATGTCTTATAGCAAAACCACTCAAAAATAAACAAACAAGTAAAAAATACTGAGCCCAGCAGGTGGTGTGATGGTTAAGGATTAGATTTCCATATGACTAGAGATGGTCCAAGTCCCGGATCCAGCAGCTTGAGAATCATGCCAGTCATGTGCATGTGCATGCTCAAATCCCAAGAAGACATAGGAGAAGAGATTCCAGAGAGATTTCAGTATGACCATCTACCCTGGGGGGATAATTTCTCACCTCTCTCTCTCTCTCTCTCTCTCTCACTCTCTCTGTGCCTCTATGGTGAGTGCACATACCCTGTGGCAAAAAATCTTAAAAAAAATACTATTACTTGATAAAATTTAGCTGCTGTATCAGAGAAGACATAACCCACCCATGTGCATGCATGCCAAAAATCCTGAATGAAACAAAAGATTGTTGTGTGACCACACCCCATAGGGTAACACTTTTTCTCTCTCTGTCACTCACATTCTCTCTCTATTTCTATTATGTGCAAGCACCCTCCAGCATAAATAAAAACACAAATATGTAAATGCAGTGACAACACAATATCAGCAAAGTAGATTGTCATTCTACTGCAGAAGAGGGCAGATATATATACAACCCATATCCTAGTGCTCCCATGTCAGCATCATAGCAGGCATTACTAATAGATCATGACACTCAGAGTTCTTCTCAACACAATTGTTCAGGAAGACACAACCAATCCATTGGACTTGACAGACAAAATGAGAACTCTTTACCATCACTGAGATGAAAGAACTTTCTATGCCAGCATCTGTGATCCAGAGAGGATCTTACTCAAATTATCTTAAAATCATCACCAATAGATTAACTTTGTTGCAAACTGAATCTGATTTTTTAAAAGCTATGACTCTTGGCAAAGGGAAAATTTTATTCTATGGGACAAAACAAGGGTAATTATCCTGAGAGAAGTCCCAATTTATTCTTACTCTAATCCAAATTGAAACAGGTATTGACTGTTTATAAATAGCACCTAAAATGCATACCAATTAAGCCCGTAATTCCATTTCTGAGGACTCTAAGTTGAAGAAGTAATGTTAATCCAGAAAGTTTCTTGCAAGAAAAAGCTGTCCATTGCAGCAGTATTCAACATTTCCATTAGCAGTGATAGAGAAGCCCAACAATAAGAAAAAAAGATCAACTATTAGTGCATGTCACTTTATTTACTATCACGCAGCAACTGAAATAATGTGATTATATGTATATGCATTAAAAAGTAAACGTCACAGACTTGGATGATAGAAACGTAAGTGTGCACAATGGTCATTGTTAGTGGTGGTCAGATTATGGACGATATTTGTGCCCTCACTCTACTCACCACGATTTGTATTTTACTAACAAGATAATTTTTCATTAAAACTGCAACTGAAGTGTAACACGCATACAGAAAAGTGCTCGCATCACAAGTGAGCAATTCGATGAATTTTAATAATATCAGTGCATCTTATATGTTCTGGATCAAGAGACAGAGCAGGTTGATTTTGCCAAGTTTGGTTTTGAATTTTATTATAATGGAACCAAAAGTGAAGTACCTTTTGCTATTGGTTTCCTTCTTTCTCTTGACATTGAAATTCATCCACACAGGTGCATCTCGTTACTGCACGCTCACAGGCATTGCTCTATCGTACTGCACAGGAAGCATCCCACGCAGCATTGTTGGACTGAGGGCATTGCCCTTTGGAGGCTGTCCCCATGGCAGATTATTGTATATGGTTTTTGATGAACAGACAACCATTTCCATGGGGAGTATCTCTAGAAGTGGATTTCTTGGGTCTTAGGGTGATGACCTTTGTGATGGAAAAACATATAAGCTTTCAAAATAGTAATATTTAAAACTCCATTCGTCAAAGGCAAAAGCAGAGAAGAATCAAGAAACCCAGATGAAGATAGAAGCTACTTTGTGTGTGTGTGAAAAAAAAAAAAAAACATGAAAGAAACTTAGACTAAAGTTAAAGAAAACAAGTAAACTTATGAGAGGGGAAATCTAACCTGAACCCAACAAAAATCCTAATTTTTGGAATAATTTCTCTCTTTCTCTGATTTTTACTTTTCTTTCTTTCTATCCAACAATGCATCGAGTCACTGTTGCCTCACTGTTCTCCCCAGCAGGGGCAAGATTCTGAAAGAAGTCTATGAAAGCTCTCTCAGGATACAGAAAGTGAACTGTTAGGTTCACTTGTTTTCTCTTGTGGGGAATTTGTTGCTAACACGTTTCTTCCCACCCACATCTCCTGCATGCTATCTGATATGTTCTGATTCCACCCATGTGCACTTACTTGCTTATGAATGCTCTTATCTCTTCACCATTATTCAATACTTCCCAGGACATTGTGAGTTCAGTGCCTGGAAACCATGGGGGAGAAAAGTGGGATTTGCCAAAATGTAGGTGGGCAGAGAAAAGAGTGATTGTTTCATCAGGTGTAAACTTCAAGTTTTCTGATTTTTGTGTGCTTTTAAAATCCCTGAACTCCAGCACCCCCATTTGTGATACTGTACTAATAATTCCTCTTTACTAGGAGGCCAAAGTCGCTGCCGGGGGTGATGCTGGGCGTATGGATGTGCAGCAAATGCAGCTATCAGCATTGTCCTCACCTTCATTATCATCATCGGTTTCCTCTTTCTCGTCCCCTTCTCCTCCTCCTCTTCCTCCACCTCCATCCTCTTCTTCTTCTCCTCCTTCTCCTTCTTCATGCCCCCTGGGAAAGAATTTCAAGTTAACATGGAATCAGTGAGGCCAATTTCTTTCTCTTATGGAGAGCAGGGAGGCCTGCCTCCTTACAAACTGTGTGGGCATCTGGGATGTGCATGATGGAGAATGAAAAGACTTTTGAAGAGAGGAGGAATTCGCTTTTCTTAGCGAGACAGAACCAATGCCTTGAGCCCCTTTATGTAGGCAGAACTGTAAGATCCCTGTCTCTGGATCACAGGGTATTTTCTATCCAACATGAGGCATCTCAACTCTCCTGCTGACAGGGACCAGTTCTGAAAATGCCCGCTGACTTTCCTCACTAGACCAGCAATGCCTTTACCTCCATCCTTCCTCCCTTCATTCCACAAGTGCCCACCAGGACTCACTCTGTCTCAGCTTTATGTTGAACACTGAGGGCTAGGAGATATTACATGTATATTCCTGGTCCTAGAAGAACTAACACTAGAGCAGATGCAGGTAGGATTATGCATGCACATGAATGTGCATATCTGCACATTAAGAAGGTGTCATTAACGAGGTGATTTTATATCATGTTCATTTCTATATCCTGTCCCTGCTGTTTAACATATTTCATCTATCTGGTCTGTCTTGAGCAGTGGTTTCTGAATGAATGAAGGAATGAATGAGACAAAAAGAAAAACAAAGACAGAGAGGGAAGATGGAAGGGAGGGAGAGAGAAAATAAATGACCTCTTCCAACTTCCAGGCTATTTTCTTGCCATCCCTCTGTGGTAGCAGTCACTCCTTTCCCCCTA